GCAACGCGGTCGCGACACAGTCGGACGCGGAGGCGGCGCAAGCGATCACAGACGAGACTGTCGGCAGCTGCGCACCCTTCGCTCCGCCAATAAAGTTTCGAGGGTACCGATTCCATGCCGAGGCATGTCCGTCCATGTCCATCATCGATCTCACGTGAACCGGTGACGGACAGGCTGTAGACTCCGACGAGGAGCGGTAGGGCATGTGAGGCGGCGAGGCCTCGACTCTCGTGAGCCAATCCATGTCCCATGTTCTACTCTTGCTCATCAGCGGCCGCACTTTCACTCCGTGTGGCTCAGCTGGCCGTCCAACATGGGCACATAAGGGAAGAATAAGGACTCATGAGGATGTGCCCCACCTTAGATTTGCACTAAGTTTAGGTCCGGTCGTTTCTATTTCATGAAATATGCCAGAAACGTAAAAAAATCGTCCGATTCAAATAAAAATTGTTTAATTTGCATGTATTTCGTCCAGCTTATTTAAATACGGTTGAAATGTACGCGGGCATGGTTGGACGACCGACTCCATGTCAATGTCAACGTCAGATACATATCCCTTTTCTCGTCAAAAAAAAAGATACATATCCATTTCATGGTCAGCGTTTGAGATGGCCTAATATGGTATGGCATGCCATGACCTGTACAGTACTTAAGAAACATTTTCTTTTCGAGAATACCAAAAAACATTTCCAAGACATGGCGTGAATGGGCATGGCAACGGTAAGAAATTCCCCAGTCCGCCCCCAATTCGAGACAGAAGCATCGCACAGCAGCCGACCCCTACCCGCTCCGAATCCTTCCATCCATCACCACCTCCACTTTCCTTTTATTTCCGCCGCCACGCCACGTGCACCTCGGCCAAGGACGAGGCTCCGGCTCTGCCCCGGCTATAAAGCTACGCCCTTTGGCCGGCCCGCTCCTCCTCCTCCTCCTCTCTTCCTCCGTGCCATGCCGCGCCTCTCGCCTCCTCGCCGCGCTCTGCCCGGTCCGCTCCTCCTCCTCCTCTTCGTCCGGGCGATGCCTCTCTCCTCCGACCTCTCCGTTGCACTCCGGCCGGTCCGCTGCTCCTCCACCCTTCGCCCGGGCCGCGCGTCTTCCCTCCTCAAGCCGGGTTTCATCTTGCTCGTCCTCCTCGGTCGATTTGCCCGTCTAGAATCGCGTCCGGATTCGATTTTGCTCGTCCCGGGTCGATTTGCCCGTTTAGAGTCGCGCCCGGATTTGATTTTTCTCGCCGTCGCCGATTTAGATAGCTAGAGAACCCCGCCTGATTTGATCTTGCTCGTTCTTGCCGTCGTCCATTCGGACCGCGCCCAATTTGAGTTTGCTCCTTCTCAGTTCGCGTCAGTTTAGAACCGCTCCCGAGTTGATTTTGCGCGTCCCCGCCATCGTCAGTTTAGAGTCGCTCGCTTCTGATTTGAATTCTTCTTGTCCTCGCCGTCACCCGTTTTCGTTTTGCTCGTCCTCGCCGTCGCCCCGACACGCTCGCGTGTTCTTGGTCCGTCTCGTCGAGGGTCTCCCGTCTGGTTTGCGATTCAGAAATTTCTGCGTGCGCTCCTGTTGTCCGAGAGACGCTTTGGATCCTGCGTGTCTTCGTGTTCGTGTCAGCGCGAGCGTTATAGGAAAGGTCGGGTCTTGGTTTTAAAATTGGGTTATGGGCCGGAGATGGAGAGACAGAGAGCGATTGTCAGTTTGTCGTGGTAGTTCAGATCGGTTCCTAGGCTGTTGCGTTGTCGTTCGGTTGTTGTCTGATCTCAAATGGCTAGCTTGTTCGTGTTAGCCTAGATACTCTGGTTCCTATGTCGATTATGATTGTACCAGCTAGCTTGTTTCACTTTCGTCAGGATAGATGCAGGGGTGATTTTGTTCTGATGGGTGTTACTGCTTCTGTTCTTTTCAATTGGTTGTTTACTTCCTAGAGTATCATGCTTTGCTTATGTTCCCATATATGGTGATGTGTGTTCAGGGGTGCAAACCATTAACCATGTAGGCCGTGGGTGCCATTTCGAGCAGGAGGAGTAGAAATTTTTAAAAGAGTGCAAATCATGTGGCTTGCTGATTGACTAATTGAACACCTGCTGCTGCTACTGTTTGACAAGGTTTCCTACTTTTCTTCCTTGTGTTGCATATAGGAGTACTAGATGAGGTGCCTTAGACTTTGTTCTAGATTGCATAGCATAACTCTAGAATTTTGTCATCGCACACCTGGGCATATAATTCTGCTGTGAGCATAACTCCAGAGTTTATTTATCTGTGAAAGCACGTTTATCACACGTTTCTTATCAATGCTGCTCACTTTGTCATGTCCCTTCTATTTGTCCTGTTAAATTTTAATATATGGCATCAACTTGGAACAACTTTTGTACTCGCTGGTTGGAATGCCGACTTCTGTATTTGTTGCTATGTAAGCCATGCACTTGCGAAGCCTGGGCCTGATTAGGATTTGGATTGCATATAGATTTTATGCTATGTTTGTTTATAACCTGGTTGTTGCCTAATATAGTGTAAATCTGCTAGTTTTTTAATTTCATTTATGTTCAACACAAGTAGTTTTTGTTCATAAGTGGTATTTCTTTTGTGTGTGTATGAACATTCACGCTATCAATTTTTCTTATCATAATCATTTACCGTGGTGTTTGACAATACATTTCTACTGTTCTTTGTTCCCTTTTGAGTTTCACTGACTCAATTATGCATGAGATATGATATCAATTACTGCTGTCCAATCACTGAAATAATGCTTTTCTTGCTTTGCCTAGACTTTGTGACAAGAATAAGCATGCGTCTCTGTGCCTTCAAACTTGTGGGTAATGATGATGATCTAACTAGCTTCCTGTTTTCAGGAATGAAGATCTGAATTACCCTCACCCCTCTACAGAAATCAGTTTACTCATTCAGTTTCTGGAACTTCTTTATAGCTTTCCGATTTTACTTCGGTCTTGCATGTATTAGCTTTCTGTTTGTACCCTTATCTATGTATGTCTCTTTGTGTGTTTCTTGTGTGCAAGCGATCCATTGTGTGTGTCTGACTGTGTGTGTGATGTGCGCCTATCTATGTGTGTTTCTTTGTCTGTTTCATGTGTGCAAGTGCTCCATTATCTGCGTGTGACTATGTTTGACTGCTTGGATGGGGTGATTCTGATTGTGTTACTTCTTATATGGTATGTCCAATATGTTTCTTATTCATGCTTTGCTTGTGTTCCAATGTCGTCTCCCCATATATGGGGATGTGATCAGGGATGTAAACCATTTAGGTCGTTTCGAGCAGGCAGGGATCCAGAGATGTGCGCTGGTCAGGCTTCTCTCCTACTGATAGATGATGATAGGCTAAGCAGAAAAGTTTGACTCTTGTAACACTCACTTGCTTGGCTTCCACTCCTTTGTGTGGCTGATTTGGCATCCAATGCATCTCATGCCTATCTTATATATCTCGCTCACTCATCACAGCATCCTTTCCCTGTTTTTGTTCCTTTTTCTTCTTATCATAATAATCATGTATACCGTGGTGTTTGACAATACATTTTTTGTGATATCTGTGTTTAGTTATCTCTTATGTGGATATCATATTCTTTTTTTGTATTACTGCTGTCCATTCACTGGAATAATGCTTTTCTAAGTATTTCAGGTAGGATATAGACAAATGTCACATTTGCTCTTCCTTGTGTTGCTAAGGACACGGATGGGTTACAACGCAGGTATATTTATGTTTTCTACATTTTGTGATGCTAATGTCTGTAGTCCCAAACGCTTATTTAGCCATGTATTCCTTGCTCACTTCACAAGATTATGTATTCATGCTGATAGTATGTTGCTCTTTCTAGGACCGATAATTCTGATAGTATGCCGATAGTATGCCAAGGACTACTCAGGGTTCCTATCGCTTTCTGTTTTACCAACTAAGGTAATCGAATTTTGATCTTCAGCTTGCAAATTTATATCACCTTATGGGAGGGAAAGGTTTGCATGTACATGAGCTCCAATTACCTACATATATACTTGAATTGCTTTGGATTTGTTGGACTTCTATTCTATGATTCACTTGATCTGTTAATTTGAGTATTTTCCTAGTGAGTTCTTTAGGTTCATCTTGTGACACGAAATACAATTTTGGTACGTGTAGACTCTGAAATTTGGTGATAAAGAAAAGGTACCTCCTAATTTGTTCTTTGGCTCTCTTACACTTGTCTTTGTTTATATAACAGTAGTGGCCTCCTGGCTTGTAGTTGGGTAGTGCAGAGAGAGGTTTGGAATTGAAGAACTAAAATAATGCAGAGTTGAAGGTTTTGAACAGGAAGCTTGAACAAAGAGTTTACTTTTTCTCATGTCTTTGATTAGTTTCATCCTATCTATGTATGTTTCTTGTGTGCAAGCACTCCATTGTGTCTCTGTGACTGTGTGTGACTGACTGTTTGTGTGTGTGACTGATTGTGTGTGTTTCTTTGTCTGTTTCTTGTGTCCATTGTGTGTGTGCGTGTGTGTTGACTGTGTATGTGTGAAATTTTATGACACTGACTATGTATTGATTGTGACTGTGTGTATGTGTGTGTGTTGACTGTGACTGTGTGTCATTTTATGATTGGCTGTGTATTGATTGTGACTGTGTGTGTGTGTTGACTGTGATTGTGTGTCATTGTGCAAGCGCTCCATAACTACATATGCATGGAAATTTCTATAAGGTCATGGGCATGTAATTTTATGACCTACATACCTTTGTAGTTGGTAGTATCATTGCCCTTTGGACACTCTTCAATGCATTGTTGTATATTTTCCTGCCACAAGTATGATGTTTGTGCTTAGAATGATGTATATGTAGAATCCAGGGTGGATGGAGGTTTTCATGATGGCTAATTTGATTTGTTATGGTTCTGATGGTGTGCTTCTTGTGTTCGAACTGAACCTGTGGATCACTCATCAACCTGGTCTGTGTTTGTATGGTAATCCTTCTCGAATTTAACTCCTTCCAATTGTGCACACAATATTTATCTTACGTCTGGTAATACCTTATGAATGTTTTAGCTAGTAATATAGTAATGCCATACTTCTTTGGACGTTGTTCTGCATATGCAAGTGTGATGAGCTCACATATTGTGTCAGTATCTACCTACACAGATGAATTATTTTCGGATAGGACAGAGATGCAATGTTTACGAAGGTTCTTTAACACTGAACTCATCAAAGGTCCTTGGACTCAAGAGGTTTGTCATTGCACTCCTGACTTTGCTCGAGAAAAAAAAGATTTTGCACATTTTATAGTTATATTTATGATATTTTTCTACAGGAAGTTGACAAAATTATTGACCTTGTAAACAAGTATGGACTAACAAAATGCTTGCAAGGTATTTGTTTTGATTGTTTTATTTTTATATGGTTTGCTGAAATGCATTTAACCCCTATGTGCAAGGTAAACACACTGGTAACAATTCTCTGTTGACGCATTGCAGGTCAGCTACCAGAACTTCCCCGCTGATCCTGGGATGTTTCTGAACATGCTCCCGAACATGTTCAATTTATCCGCCCTAGGACAGGTGACTACTGTGCTACTTTTATGATTCTGTGTAGCTAGTACTCAAATCATGGATAGTCCATTCTGTCATCATAACGTGACTAGATTCACTCTGATTTGCAGTTTATTTGGTGATGGCAGAATGAACCCACCTGTGATCTATTCTGCTTCTTTCTTATTCAATGTTTTGTTATTACTTTCTAATTCTCTCTTCCCTTTGCATTGATCCACTTGCTATGCAGCCACTGCCATGACACAGCAGGTATGCTTGATTTTTTGTTTTGTGCTTGAGATTTTTCTTGTTCTGTGATGCATATGCCTGACCACTCTTTTCTTAGGTTACTTGGCATGCTCGGCGTGTTTACTTCGGTGGACTTCCTCTGACCGCTAATGAACAGGTAATTGCCTTGAGTAACGTATTATTTCTTGGCGCCTCTTTCTCTATTCGCAGTCCGTGCTAACTATTTTGTTCTTCTTTCTTCAGACGGTTGCTCTATTCTTCAATCAAGTTATGGCTGCTATCGGGGGAAAAACATTTGGTCTAGGTGAAGCAGTTGTTAATATGAAGCTGGTTTTTGAATTCATTCAAAACATCTTAGTTGTTAATATGAAGCTGATTTTTGAATTCATTCAAAACATCTTAGGTGGCATAATCATCTGAATCCAAACGTATGGAACGATGCTTGGACTACTGAGGAGGAACATGCACTGATTAATTCCATCAGGTATATGGGAATAGCAAAAGTTATTCCTGGAAGGTACTTGAAAGTGCAACTATCCCTGGGTGGTTTTGGTAATTCCTAACAACATATAGCTCATTGAGCTAACATTATTCCAAGATTAATATTTCAGGAAAATCTCAATGAATGACATGGCATGGATGAGGAAAGTGGATCCCTTAAAATTCTAAGGACAAAAAGTTTGGCTCAAGCTTCAAGATCAAGACTCTACATTTTATATTTTAGTGATCCAAGATCACATTGAGTCTATAGGAAAAGCCAATACTATCAAGGAGGGATGAGGTGTTGCTTAATGGCTTGCTTGCTCAAAATGCTTAGTGATATGCTCCAAAACCCTCAACTACCTTCCCACATCCACATATGACCTAAACCAAAAGTCAAACTCGGCCCCACTGATTCTTTCTATCCGGCGCCACCGAGTTTCAAATGTCATAGCCACTGCCACAAACTCTAGGCAAATCGGTCTCACCGAGATGGGATTGTAATATCTTTGTTTCCCTTCGTAATGTTTCGGTCTTACCGAGATGAGCGATCGGTCTCACTGAGATTGGAATGTAAACTCTTTGTTTCCCTTTTGTAACATTTCGGTCTCACCGAGATGAGCGAATTGGTCCCACTGAGTTTACCTGACCAACTCTCTGGTTAGCTTATTATCAAAATCGGTCCCATCGAGTTTGTGTAATCGGTCACACCGAGATTATGTTATGCCCTAACCCTAACCATATCGGTCCTACCGAGTTGCATCTCAGTCCCACCGAAAATCCTAACGGTCACTAGGTTTGCTGAATCAGTCCCACCGAGTTTAACCATTCGGTCCCACCGAGTTTGGCAAATTGTGTGTAACGGTTAGATTCTGTAACATCCCAAATTTTCAATTTGAAATGTTATACATTAGATCATCTATGCATATCATATTTTATTTTGCATTTTGGTTGATCCTAGAAATTCTATGCAACTCAATGACCCACGGAGGGAGTTGGGGATTTCGTTATTTCATATTTGAGTTTTCTCAATTTTTGAGAATAGGATCATTTCATTTTATTTATTTTATCATCAATTATTTTTATTACAAAAATATGAGAGAGGGAATAAAATGACTTTCCCCAAATAAAGAAATATTGAGGATCAAATAATAAAATCAAATAAGATTTTATTTCGGAGTTTTTCGATGTTTTATTTGAATTTAGGAAAAATGTGCGTTTTTAAAAATTGCATTTAGGTCCCAAATAAATGTTCACCTTGTGCGGCTTGATTTTAGAAGCCCGTGAAAATTTATTTCAGAATTTTTGGAGTCCGTTTAGTATTTCTTTTTATTTTTCTTCCGCGCATAATATAAAAAAACGCGCACCGACCTACGGGCCGTATCCGACCTGGACACCGGCCCGGGCAGGCTTTATAAGCCGGGGCAGCCCACCCGGGCCAAACCCTAGCCGCCCCAGCCCCAGGCCGCCGCCGACGACGATGCCGCCGCCGCGCCGCCCGCCGCCGCGCCGCCGGACGCCGCCACCGCCGTCCCGCCGTCGAGGTCCGCCGCCGCCTCAAAATCCGCGCCGGTTTTTTTAGATTCGATTTTTTAATAGATTGGTTTTTCCGGTTTATTTAAATAGTGAGCATTCGTCCGTTCGTTCGTTCTAGCGAACGTTCGTCGTTTTTCTTTTTTTCGGATTAAATCCGCGATTTTTCTGACCGCGATTTCTGATCCGATTTTCGTTTTAGTATAACTTTTCGCTCGTTTATCGGAATTAGGCGATTCAAGCGCCTAGAGTTTCGTCTCGAAACCCTCTATCCGTTTAACCAACTTAAACAAGATTTTGCTACTGTAAAATTTGCCCTAGATCTAGATTAGTAGAATGAAGTTGTTTTCTTTCGCCGTTTGACTTTCGTTGCTTCGTTCGATTTGATTCTTTTTGTCAACTGGAGTTCTTAAGTTGAACCTTCTGGTTAGATCTCTTATTTGAGTTTTACCCGTGCATTAGTTGAGTACTTATTGTATACTTGTTTGTTTGTCTATGATAGAATACCCGGAGTGCGCCGCCTGTTACTTCGAATCTCTAGGTTTCGTGGATCATCAGCAAGGCAAGTAACACTTTGATCATACCTTTTCTACTACCCAGTTTTATTGCATTAGATCAATCCTCACACATTGCATGGTTAGGATCTAATTAAATTGTGAGATTGGAAGTAGATGAGGTAGTACCTATTACCTGTTTATTATCAAACCTTTGGGAGTTATTTCTACGTTTGCTTATTATGCCATGCTATGCTAGTAGACGTGGATTGGGTGAGTGATATTCATGATAGATGTGAGTTTTGATTAATTAATGGTTTATCTAAGGTGGAAACTTAAACACACATCTGGGTGGATTGAGGCACCTGGGTATTCCAGGACTTGCCTGTTTTCTTTTGGACCGCCACCCATGCTCAAAGGGATCATGAGACTATTCATACTAGAAACTTCCGTGTGCAGCCACAAGCTATTATGGGCTCTAGCATAGTTGACTAAGTTGTGCGAACTCTTACAGTGGTAGACTAGCAGATGTAGGGGATGTAGGTGGTACGGTCTACCCGATCGTAAGGTGCTAGCGCTTCTGAAAGACTATGTCTCGGTCATCCGTCTTCTCAAACAGCATGTAGTGCGAGAAACCAAACGGAGGCGATTGAGTCTTGTGGGGAAAAGTGCGCAAACCTCTGCAGAGTGTAATAAACTAATCATGGTTAGCCGTGTCCCCGGTTATGGACAATCTTGAGTATCTAGTACCTGGATTATCATGTGAATCTCAACATATTACTCTAAATTAATTTCGTTGGGTTATGTTTAATGATGATGCTTAATTGGGATTGAGAATGCTGTCAACCATTCTCAATGTTTAACAACTACCATGATAGTTAAATAAATTTATTCCTTTGAAGTAGGGAAAAATTGGCTTTATGCAAAACTGTAACCATAGAGCTTTCCACCAGCCAAATATGCATATAGTATAACTATTTCATTCCATTACTCTGTATGTGTTACCTTGCCAGCATATTCCATGTACTGACCCGTTTCGGGCTGCAACGTTAATGTTGCAGACTTTTCAGACGATGATTAAGGAGTTTTTAGGTCGTGGTTCTATACTCAGTGATGCCGTTGGAGTTGATGGACTCACTTATCTTCCAAGCCTTCCACGGTTATCGTTATTAGATGGCCTTAAGCCATATTTATTGTAATAAGTTCTCTTTTGAGACACTCGATGTAATAAGTGTGTGATTGCTACTCTGCTATAAATCCTCCGAGTACTGTGTGGTGTCATCATTACTGATCCAGGGATGACACCGGAGCACAGAGATCAGACTGCTTGAGGTCTGGTCGCTACAGAGATGGTATCAGAGCACACGCTGACTGTAGGACACGACCACTAAGCTAAAAGACCTAGATCACTATTCACCCTCTTCTCTTCTAATTTCTCATCTTTTCTACTCTTTTAGGATGGCAGATGCAAGGAACAAGTTCACGCAACCGGATGAAGATACACCCTTTGGACGTCACTTGAAGGAAGTCACTAGATACCTGAACATAGGAGTACCAAGCTTCACCGGAACCTACAACGCCACTTTACATGAAGAAGAGCGCTGGATGATTCAAGTTCAAGTTCCAGGAAGGACGTTCATGCCAGTCACTGAGCTCATAGAGTTTTCTATTTATGCACCCACTTGGAGTCTAGGAAAGAGCATGGCAGCCTACATCGCCATGGGACGCATTGGAGAAGTCTACCGCAATGATCTCAAGGATACTATCTACCAGATTTGTGGGCGCCGAGATGAACACTGGGAGATGATCAGCACCAGGAAGGATAGATCAATCACAGCTTTTATCCAGGAGCTAAACCAGCACATTCGACGACAGGAGAATCAGATGTGCGCGGACATGATAGATCTGAAGAAGGCTAAAACTAGAATCAAGGAACTGGAGGAAGAACTCAAGGCTACACGTGAAGATTATGAAGAGGAAATTGAAGTATTGGTGGAGAAGAATGACGACCTGATCAAGAAGATTGGAATATTTATGGGAGGCCCTACGCCAGTAGAGGAAGACGAAGAACCCAAGGAGATTAGCCCGGAAGACTACATCATCATGGACGACACCGACTCGGATCCAGATAGTAGCGATGATGACTATGTTGATGAAGCTGGAGCAGATATCATGGAGTCTGCAACCGAAAAATATTTCTAGTAGACCACCTCATC